AAATCAGCTGACAATAATTAACTTTTTTTTATTACATTTATCATTATACACTTTAGAAAAATTCAATTTCAAATTAAACTCCATAATACACCTTAATCCAGTAAAGAACAAAAATTTAATGATGAACTAATGTTTTCAACCTTTTTTAAATATTCTAAAGATAGAACATAAATTCAAACAGAAAAAAAATTCAAATGTAATTGGATATATATATGTCATCACATCACATGTGTAGTATTGAATAAATAAATTATTAAACACAAATTAAGTTAGGTAAAAGAAACTTAAATACAAAATATACATCTTTAAATATTGCCAGATATTTGAAGGTAAATATTTTGTTATTGTTAAAAGGTAAATATTATTATTTATCAAATAAATAACAATATCTGGCAATCATTTGGCTTTAAATAACAATAAATGCAAAATAAACAATAATACAAAATAAGAAAGTACAAAAATTAAATCAATCCATAAAAAAAAGGATGGATAATACAAAAGGGAATGTTCATTATATGTCAACTTCAAACAAGGCCCTCCAGGCATGTGACAAAGATGTTATGTCCCTGTATTGATTGTAGTGTTTTTAAGTATACTCTATATATTTTCTGTTTTTCCAAATATTTAAGCTATGAAAGAATTGGGGGTTGGTGAAGATGGGCTCTGTCAAAACATATTTGTACATCAGTGTCTGATGTAAAGGTAGAAATGCAATAGTAGTCAGCTTTTTTGTGATGGATTCCTGGAGTTCTTTGATTCTCATAAGAAGCAATCTATATATGGCACTGATATATGTGTAGTAGCATTCAACTCTATTGATGTAGAAGGTTTCCTAGAGTCAAATCAAGCATATTTTTACATGAACTTATTCTGTTTGTGTTAATTTGTTTAAGTTCTGATTATTTGCAATTTTATCATAAAACTAATTGCAAGTCACAGTTTTGCTTTTATAATTAGCATTTCTTTCATGGCTTCAATACTTAATTTTGACTTCTCTTCCACTACAAGGAATTCATGAGTGAAAATAGAAGTTGTAGTTTCTGAAAAACAAAGGAATAATTTTATCAAATTATTATATCTTAGAATTCAAGATCCTTTTTGAGTCTTTCATTAAATATTTTATGCTACATATCTCAGCTACATTGATTTTTTTTCTTCATTTAAATCCTTCAAGTGTTTGGTTATCATCATCTTTATGCTCATTGATCAAATTGTCAAATTTCATCTGTTTCTGTTCATGTAATATATTCAGTAAATTTATTGAAGCTATTCTGTAAGCTGTATTTTATGTTATTTCTTCCTCAGTAGTATCCATTTGAATTTATGGCCCTTATCAAAGCAGAATAAACATTTTCTAACAAATTGTGTGTTTGGAATATAATATACTAATGTGTTTAAACTAGAGAGCTGTTTTTTGATTTTTAAAAGTAAAAATTTTACCTAAATGATAGGCAACAAAGACGGAGCAAAAACTGGTATTGTCCCATTCAAAACAGTACATACGAGGGCTGTTCGGAAAGTTCGCGGCCTCATATAGAACAACAAACAAAATAATGTTAAAACTTATTTTATTTTTCAATGTAGTCTCCTTTGTTAGCAATGCACTTATTCCAGCGATGTTCTAGCTTTTTTATGCCATTACAATAGGTCGATTTGTCAAGGTGTGCAAAATACTCGTTTACTTCAGAGATGACTTCGTCATTTGAGTGGAATCTCTTTCCAACCAAGAATTATTTTAAATTTGGAAAAAGGTGGAAGTCACTGGGGGCCAAATCAGGTGAGCACGGTGGATGTGGAACTAATTGAAAGCTAAGTTCGTTTATCTTTTGTTCAGTGATTCTGGCATTATCGTGGTGAAACAGAACCTTCTTCTTCAAGTGTGGCCTCTTTTCTTCGATTTCTTTCTTCAGTTTTTCCAAAAGTATACAGTAATAGACAGCATTGATGGTCTTTCCTCTTTCTAGGTAGTCAATAAAGATGATTCCTTTAGCATTCCAAAAAAACCGAGGACATCACTTTCCCCGCTGATGGAACTGTTTTTTTTTGTCTTCTTTGGTGGTGGCGAACTGTGGTGTTTCCATTGCTTCGACTGTTCTTTTGTTTCAGGAGTGTAGTAATGGATCCACGTTTCGTCAGTAGTCACAAACCGACGCAAGAAATCCCGTTGGTTTTTCTTGTAGAAGTCCAAACACTCCTTTGACATCAAAGTGCGAACACGTCTTTGCTCAGAGGTCAGCAGATGCGGCACCCAACTTGCTGAGACCTTCGTCATACCCAAATTTTCGGTTAGATGTGGTGCTTTCGGTCTACAAAGATGCCTGTTATCTCAGCTATCTCACGCGTTTTCAAACGGCGATCTGCTAACACCAAATCGTGAACTTTGTCGATGTTTTCTTCAGTGACAGCAGTTGACGGCTGTCCGCTGCGAGGGTCATCTTCCACACTTTCTCTGCCAGATTTAAAAAGGGCTGTCCATATTTTCACAGTGGTGTACGAAGGAGCAGACTATCCTAAAACTTCATCCATGTCAGCTTTGATTTGAGATGCGGTCAACCCTTTTTTTGTCAGGTATTTTATGACCGCACGAGTCTCTGTCTTCTCCATTTTTGACAAAGCATGTGCACATTGACTATCTGCTAAGCTGTCGTGGCAAAACTTTACGACAAATCAAACGGAAATTGCTATCGTATCTTTAGCAAGGATGGCTGAATTATTCCCGCCAAAAATTAAATTGATCGCAGCGCCGCATATAGGCAAGGCCGCGAACTTTTCGAACAGCCCTCGTACAGTCAACTTACTTTAAGACAATGTGTTGAACAGCAAGATAATTATATAGAGAAAACCATGAAAGTAGAGCCAAATATTATTCATTTCATGGTATTTTTATTGTTTTTCTAACTCATTACTTAACATAAAATTGATTACTTAAAAATTTTTTTCTCTATTAGAAACAGAAAATATCTTAAAATTGATTTTAATGTTCATCTTAGAATCATAGAAATAGTACTTTTTATGATTGAGAAAACACAGAATATTAGGAAATTAGAATGTAATATAAATAAAAAATTTATTTTAGAAAGGCATTTTTGTTAATACTTGTATTTTTATTTATAGGTTTAAAGATGTTTTCTACTTATGAAGAAAGATAATTTTTAGCCTACCATATTTACAAAGAAAAGTATACAAAAAGTATAGTTTTCTACTGTTCAAGAGAGATTATTTTGTCAAAGAAAGATGAAAAATGTTAATGTTCAAAAAATATTTTATTGGCTTTTATATGGAAAGCAGTTTTATGAAAAAATTCTTAAAATAAAAATTCTTTATTTTAAATGTTTAATGTAATTGCATCTTGTTGTCAGTTTTATATTACTTAACAGTTACCCTAAATCTTGCAGGTTAATTTATTTTGTTCTAAAACACAATTGAAAAATATTCACTAAATATTAACTAAATATTCACTAAATATTAAAATAATATGAAAGACAAATGTCTTTCATATTATTTTAATATTTAGTGAAAATGAAAATCTCAAATATATTAGTTTTTCTGCATAAAAACAATACAGAATAAAAATTAACATTAAAAATTACTTTAACATAAAACACTTTATTCTTTAATAAAAAAAATATAAAATGATATGGTATGTAATGAATGAAGAGTAGCACAGTAAGAAACAAACACTTTGTTTATTGAGAAGACTGAAATATGAGTACATGAAAATACAACATCTTGATTTATTCGATTTATGTCATATCTTCTTACCATGTTTTAATGCCTACCAATGACCAAGTGGATTGGATCAAACCACTAAACACTAGTAGTTGGTCATGGGTTTGCACCTGTTCAATGGACTGGCTGGCTATGTGGAGTTTTCCAGATTTTCTTTAATTAATTGCCTAACATCTAAATAGAAGCCAGTTTCCCAAAGATTCCCTTGACACAGATTACTCAAATGTTATGTCGCCTTAAGCCAGTGATTCTCAACCACTGTGCTGTGGCACTTTAGTGTGCCACCACTGCAAATACCCATAAGTAACGTCAGACAAGTAGTTCAATCAGTTCTACCTTCCTAGGGTGCGTTTGGAAATTGTAACCAGTGTTACCGGTAACTGCCAGTAGTTACTAAAGCATTTAGAAAACATGACCTAAATAACTGTTTAAAAATCACTGTTATGACATCACTGGTTGTCCTGTGTTACTTACCGAAGTAACTGTGTGTGCCACCAAAATTTTCAATTATTAAAAGTGCTGTGACAAAAAAAAGGTTGAGAATCACTGCGTTAAGCCATCAACCCAAACAACAATAAATGAAAATTAATTCACAATTGTAGATATGTTGTAAATATATATTGATAATTTAGAGTAACAAATTAAATCATTATAATAAATAATGATACACTGGATGTCCCATAAGTGACACCATAGGAGTTATGTTAATGTTTGTTTATTATTTTACAAGTGAAACATGATGCCCAGTAAGAAGAAATGAATTCAGGTTGATTTGAAAATGATAATGAGGACTTACTCAGTGCTATGCTTCACTTAAAAGAATAAACAAATCAAAATGATGTTCTAGCCACTGTAGTAACTTAGTTAAATTACTTAATTTATCTTTTAAAATTCCACTGTTAAATATGCATTAAATAATTCAACAAAGAATAAGCAAAGATTACCATAATGTTTATGGGGCCAGACTTATGGGACACACTGTATACAAGTTACATCCAAAAATATTGAAGACAAAGTCAAATGATAAATATATTACTGTATTAAAATACATTTAAGAAATCAAAAGATATTTAATTTTATGTTGTTTGTTGGTGACAAGTTTGGTGATTTGTAAATTTTAAAGCTATGTAAGGTTTTCTTGATGTATTCTTATATTAATTTAATTTGATCATCTAGATTAATGTTTGAAGATTTATCATTTAAATTTGTGTTAAAAGATAATTTGAAAAAACAATAACAATTCAAAACAATAAATTTAACAATAAACTTGACGAAAACGTTGTTAAGTAAGTGTTGTTAGCAATTTGTGGGTATTGTTTTCAGTCTTTCATGAGTTAGTTGAAATGATTTAATTATATTAGGAAAGTTTCTTAAGTAATTGAGAGATGAAGATGAAACTCTACGAAGGTAAATTTTATTTTTTCTTCATCGTCACTTACTGCGTAAACGTAAAAATATCGTTGGAGGAAATAATGTTTGACAATTCAGAACAAATTAGAATAAATGATATCAAAGTATTAAATAATTCAGAAATTAATTTTTGGGCATTCGGCAAACATTTTCGAATAAAGGAGAGAAAAATAGACAACAATCGGAATGATTTTATAATCCAGGTTCACGATCAAAATACGACTGTAACGAAGATGCTATCTGAAACTGAATTGCTTCCATACAGTGGACACCTAATTGGAGTTCCAAATTCAAAAGTATTTGGCAAGTTAATGGGAAACAAGTTCAAAGGAACCATCGTCGCTTCTGATACAGTATATAAAATAAAGCCGGATTCGGATGATGTTCATACCATCGTTTCCAAATATCAGAATAGCATCAAAAATAATAGATTTTCGCGATCGAACAAAGATCGAAGACAAGTAAATTTGCCAAAAAAATCTTTCACCAAAGTATGTTCCTTGGAATTGGTGTCCACTGTGTCCTTTTATCAAGAATTTCATCAGAGTATGGCGGATATTGGAGAACTATTTGAGTGGTTGGTTATAGAATTAGAACAAAGATTTAAAGATTCAAAAATTATTAAATTATCAACGAATTTTGATTTGATATTCGACTTAAGAAAAGTCACTATTTTTAAAGATAAAAATTCGAAATTTTATCCCTTTAAAGAAGAAGTGGAAATTACTCCACAAATGGCATTGAAAGAAGCATCAAAATACAAAAATAATTACTGTTGGGTGCATTTTATATTCGGTGCTCCTTTCAAAGGAAAGCGTACGGGAAGTTCATATTTCGGAATTCATCCGGATCAAGGAATATGTGTGAATTCTGAAAGGCAAAAATTATCGAAGAATGTCGGTGTAACGTCAACATGGCTCGGGACTTATAGATTGGTACATAATGATCTCATATTTCATTTTGCGCGCGAATTATTACGAGGATTTGGGGTTCCTTATACTTATGATCACGATGATGAATGCAGTTATAAACCTGCCAAGAAAATACACCCAGTATTAACCCCTTTCAAATATAAAAATATAAAGGAAATGAATTCCATATGTTTCCTGAATTCCATACAAGGAGTTTTACATAGAAGAGGTAAATTATTTTAACATATTTAGGGCCTACATGCTGGATTGATTTTGAATTATTTTTATAAATAAAAACAGGTAATTGGTGTCTTTATAACAAGGTGATGGAACCCGTATGTGGAAATGGTATACGAGAAGATGAAGAAGATTGCGATTGTGGAAGTGACGAGGAATGCGATAGTATTGATCCTAATTGCGCTCCTCCAGGTTCTTTACTCGATAAACCTTGCACAGTTCGAAAAAGCGAGGGTAAAAACTGTAGTGCTAGAGACAATTATTGTTGTACCGAAGATGGACAAATTGTTCCAGCATCCGAGAAAAGTATTTGCGGATTTACAAATAACGAATGCCAAAAAGCGAGACTTTGTAGTGGTGAATCTGCAGATTGTGGTCCGTTAATACCCGAACCTCAAGGTTTTCCTTGCGCTTATAACACACGTGCGTGTAGGTATGGCTTTTGTCTCAATACGCCCTGTATTGAAAATCAATTACAGGTAAGTTGCAAAGGTGAAGGTGGTTTATCAGGGACGCCCAGAAGAGGAACAAAAGGAACAAATTGTCCTGTATAGGGCCTCTAATTCCTCGTTAAACGAAATTCCTCTATATGATGTTCTTTCATTTACTTGCTTTAATATAATTAATTTGTTGTACGATGCCGATATGTATTTTTCCAGGCCCAATTACCCTCTGGGCAGCCCTGTACTATATCATATCGTCATTTTCCTTTTTTGTTTTAATTTATGCACATCGCCATGAACTGTTGCGTTGAGAACAATGCAACTGTTCATGGGCGATCTGCCAACGGGATGCTGGGAGGATTTTCAATGGAAAATTGACACTCCCTTATTAGATGTTAGATAAGTTTTATTTTTTATTTTATTTTATTTTATTTTTATAACAGATAGATGGCTGTCCTTAGACTTAGCCCAAAAGGAGGGGTGGAAAAGGAAGGCGAGGGTTGGGGAGGATATGAAGAGTGGGAATGGAAGTGAGGATGATAGTGGTAGGAAGGATAAGAGGAGTTAGGATACCGCTGATGACTTGAATTGCCTTATTTTAACAATTAGAATACAAAAATACAAAATATATACAACAGATTGCCATTCTGGCCGATGATCAAGTAAACAATGGTTAAACATTCGTTAACACTGAGTGCCATTTTGGCTTAATGATGGTTGATAAGTCCTGTTGGGGTTTTGAGTCACTTAGGGTTGGAAGAACGTCCATTATGTTGTCGTATTGCTTTGCCGAGTGTTGAAAACCTTACATTTCCGTATGAAGTTGTGGAACATCTTAAACGTTTCTTTAGATTCACACAGAAAGTATGGTCTAGGTGGCCAGTTTTGACCATGCAGGGCACAGTGTTGGTACAGAGGCTGCCGTACTCTATCATGGGTGGGGCAGTCCCACAGAATGTGGAATAAGTCACCAGTTGTTGTCGCACTCGCAGTTGTTGTTGTTACGCTTCTTGAATCTGTGGAGATAGCTTGGTATGTTGCCATGCCCTGTGAGGGTCTGTGTAAGCTCGTAGGTGGGGATGATGTAATTATATTGTTGACGTTTGTGGATGGAAGGGAGAAACTTGTAAGTAGTTCTTCCAGTGTTGGAAGATTCCCACTCCTCCTGCCAGTTATCAAGTATCCTCTTACTGATGTATTTATTAACATAGGTAGGAGGTATTCTACTGAAGGCATAGTTAGTGTTGAGGGTGGCTGCCCTTTTTGCCAGCTTATCTGCTTCCTCGTTGCCCCTGATTCCAGTGTGGCCAGGGACCCAGTAAAAGGTGATGTTCCTGCGTTTGTTAAGGTTATGGGCAAGATGGTTCATTCTGGCTCCATTGAAAGTGATTTTGGCTTTATAATTGAGTATATTTAGAATGTATTTACTATCTGTGTTAATACTTATACTGTACTTCCGTTGTAATTTTTCTGGTTTGCAGTGACATGCACGAGAGCTCTGAGCATAGCCCAGAGCTCCGCTTGGTTGATCGAGCAGTGTGAATGGAGTCTAAAGTATTCTTGATGCTTGATGTACGTTAAGTTGCTGTTATAAATAATGAATGCTGCTCCGGTGCCGATGCTACTTTTTGAGCCGTCAGTAAAGATGTTCCAGTCTCCCTTATCAGTTCCTCTGTTACTGTAGTTGATGTTTAGCTTGCCAGTGTCAGCCGGGTGATGGTCGGCGCCCATCCCTGTGAGATAGTTATCGAGTTTAAATTGCTTTATTTTTTATATAAGATCCTGACTGTTCAATGGATAGATTTCTTTACAGGTGGTATCTTGTGTCTCTTGGTCAGAGTTTAAGCCAAAATTAGTATTATTTATTTGCCAGGTCCACACTAGCTTTTTGATCTTCAGGTGAATTGGTGTTACATTGGCAATTGTTAGCAGTGCATCCGTGAGTGCAGTGCGGTAGGCACTGCATATCCTTAATGCCATACCCCTTTGAATAGAAAGTAATTTTCTTCTATTGTGCACCAGCCTTGCCTTCTCCCCCCAAATCTGCGCTGCATATAGCAGTGCTGGCTCAATAGCACCTTTATAAATGAGATTGATGTTCCTACTGCCAATCCCCCAAGTGTTACGGGCTATATGATGGATGGTGTTGACACGTTGGCGCATCTTCTTACAAAGTTCCTCGATGTGGAACTTCCAACTCAGTGTTGGATCGATGTATACTCCAAGGTATTTTAGATGCGATGTGATTTTGATCTTATGATTGTCAATGTACAGCCCTAAGGGTTGCTGTAGCTGCTTTCTATTAGCTTTTCTGGTGCAGACCAGTGCCTCGCATTTCTCATAGTTGATGGGTAATTTATTGGTCTTACTCCAGGTAAGAAGATGTTAGATAAGTGAAGAAAACTCGGAAAACTACACCTGGTCGGCTCGTTAATTAAGCGCAAATCCGCGGCCAACTACTAGTGTTCAGTAGTTTTATCCACTCGGCTACTGGTGGGCCCTAAGGTTTCTGTCATTATTATTTCTAAACATGAAAATAAATTAAATATTTAATATAAAATCTCGCTTATAAAGTTATATTTTGTAATAATTTCTTTAAGCCAGAATGAAAAATATCTGAATACATTAACTCCTCGATTTAATGAGTTTAAATAGAGTGAAACGTTCATCGAATCTCATTCGATTCTAGTGAAAACACTAGAATCGAATGATCCAAAATCTAAAACTTATTACAATAGAAGACAACTTTTTAAATATAATAAATACTTTTTCATACTCTTCGTGCCAAGTAGAGCAAAAATATCCATTTTTCATACTTATCGTGGATATGGGCTGTCTGGTGAAGAGGAATTGGTCATACATTTCCGGGTTTATCGCTAAATTGAAGTAATTCATTCAAACAAAAATTATATATAAATGATGAGATCTAGATAAAAGTTTGAGTTTGAAAGTCACGTGATTTATTGATACAATTTAGTTTTACAATGCAGAATTGTAAATTTAGTAATTCAGACGTAGTGAAGGTATTACGTTTGTACTGTACAAACTATATTATTCAGTGTAATGTACAGTACATACAGTACATATTTATCACTATTCATATATTTTACTATCCGTGTGAATATTACAATGGGTTAATGATCATCGATGCACAACTTGAATCGATGACTGTCTCGTGCTCGACTTACGCGCACGCTTCGTCACATACTTACTGTGTACACGCGCGAGAGTATATATCGTTATTCTTGTGACGTCACAGAAGGGCGCTAATATTTATTAAGGATGTACCAATTAATCGGTAAGTAATCGGTAATCGGCCATATCGGCCATTTTCCCGATTAATCGGTATCGGCCTTTTCCCCGATTAATCGGTTTTAACAATCGGTCAGTTTTGCATTTTAATATTTTTGTTAGAATGTTACATACAAGGCTAGTAATAAAAAATAATAAATTTCTGTTATATATTTATTATTTATTACATAACAAACTGAATACTGTATTAAAAAAAAATTTACAATTCAAATTATTCCTTTTCTCGATACATATAAGATACAATATAACCTATTCAAAACTATCTCTTTTATTTAAAGTTTAAACTTTAAACATATAAAACAAATATAAATTTAATATTCAAACTGTAAAACTCTTAAATTGTAATGCAAAAACACGAGAATTTCACATTTTCAGGGCATAACCTATTTCTTACCTCCAATGCTGAAAATTCTTTCACTTTCAATGGAAGATGCTGGGGCAGTTAAATATTTCATAGCTAGTTCGCTCAAATTAGGAAAAAGTTCTTTTGAACTTCTCCACCACAAAAATGGATCACTATGTCTTTGTTTAAGGGGTAAATGTAAATATGTTTCTAATTCTTGATCGAAACGTTTGTTCATTTCTTTCGCTTTTTCTTTCTTTTTAAAAACATGCTCTTCTTCATTCTTTCGTTTACCAGAAGCTAATTCATCAAATAAATTAGAAAAACTTAAAGATTCTCCTCCATCTTCATCATATCCAGAAGTAGAAACTTCAAAATTTAATTTTTGTTCAGATTTTGAATTATCAACATCTTCTAAGCTACCAATTGGTCATCTTTTTATTTCCTCTACCATATCCTCTTTTTGAAATTTCATTTTTATCTTGGATCTAATAAAAATGACAAGCATAAAGACTTATTTTCTATACAGGTATACCTCGCCTTACGTCGGTAATTGGTTCCAGGAGAACGACTTAAGTCGAAAAACGACGTAAGTCGAATTTACTTGTCTCCAAATCTACTTGTCACTAGGCTAAACCATAAATTGCCAATTCCCGTTCTGTATTTTATTTATTAATGCATTTTTAATAATATATGGTTAATAAGGATCTATTTTAAGCTTACAAACAAATAAATTTTAGTTTTTAATATAGTACAGAAAAAAGTAATTTAAATTTACGAATGCATGTACTGTAAATACAGTATATACTTGTAAATGTATATATTTTAATATGATTTTATGTGCTTTAAAC